TATTTTCTAGGGTCTTCTTTTCTTTCTATTCCACCACGATAGAAACGTATATCTCTTTCCAAATCCCCACGAAAACACCCCATGGCCCATCTATTTTTCTCAGCCTCAGTAATGACTGAAAATTTCTCGGGATCCATTCCATGTTCGATGGCATACTGATAAAGGCGGGTTTTGTTTGAATGAATTGGTGAGTTACTGATTTTGTTTGGTACCCTTTCCTGAGTTTTCGATAAACTCTGTACAGCAATTATAACTTTCTTTTGGTCAATACGAAAAGGACAATTAAGAAAATAGTGGTCATTTTTACCTAGACAACTCCAGTCGCCCATATTCCTAAATGAGTATGAACATCTTTGCATACTGGGCATTTAGCTTCTGAATCAGTATATTTAAATACATCTCGATACCACGCATTCGAATTAGTGCAAGACAGGAAAGGGAAGCGTTTATGTACTGCTTTATGGATTGTACTTTTCTCTTCCGGAAACTTTGAAATTTTAATGATACAGTCTTGTGAAAGATGATTGCCGGCATCCTGTTTAGATTCGGAAGTTTCAGAGTTTATCCAGGGATCAAGTCCAGTTTTTTTCTTATATCTATTATAGAACCTAGAACGAGTTTTATCTGACAAAATGCTTGGTAATTCTAATTTGGCTTCCCACTCCAAATATTCGGGAGTTAATGTATTCATATTGCCGTTTTATATGACCTCGCATCTCTTTAAATTTGTAATAACCGACAAAAAAATAATATACAGCAAGCTCGTGTCCAGAATAATATAGTTAGCTTCGAATGATGCAACCACGAGAAGGCGGGTTTATGCTGTTATCTCGGTTTTAATTCCACGCTGTTCACATTTAATAAAATAGGATCCACTTTTATATCTGCCTTCTATACCTTTATCCTCATAATGATCTGACTTGTATAGCGGGCATAAAGATTCATCCGTAATTCCATAATAATCATTGTTTCCATTTCCGCCTTCCCAAAATAAATCAGGATATTGTTCTGTCATTTTATTACGAAAATAGGTACGGTTATGAGCTGGAGTATTTACCTTAGTTGAATCTTTTGAATTCGTTTCATCATTATTGGAGTCATCGTCGGAAGATTCTCCCCCATCACCATCAGAGGATTCCGAGGAATCTGAAAAGCTATCAATTATAGTTACGGTTTCTGAAAATTCGTTATTTTCATTTACTATATCTTCCGAATTAGAGTTATGATATGATTTAATAAAGGGAGTAGTTGTAATGCTTACCTCGGTTTCCAGTAAAGTTTCTTCGCATACCTCGGCTTCTGTCAAAACATCTGAAGAATCGTCGATAAACTCATCTCGACCATCGCTCAATTCTGTATTGGGATTCTTGGAGAAATAATCAATAATGGTTTGAATTTTGTCGTTAGTTAATTCCGAGATAGAGTTTGCACTATATGTTTTAATATACTTAATTTTATCCACCCCTATCTTTTCAAATAGCTCATGAATCTTTTTAGCTCTATATGTCTTTTTGTATAAATTTTCTCGTTTAGTGCCAGGGATTTGTTTAATAATAAAATTATAAATTATTCCCTTTGCTTTTTTCTCACCGATCCGGTCCGCTCTCATGATCTCTTTAACCTGAAAATAGAATTCCTTAAAATAGTTATACAAGCATAAAATTTCAGCTTGATTTGCTTTTAGTGTTTCGTTTTCCGCATTGCATGCTTTTTCATATAAGTGGGCTATGGTTTGTAATACATCAGATATTTCTTGGCATTTTTCCTTCCGGGCCGGAAGCGAAATTTCTATCGCATGATCTTTAGGTGAAGTGGTAGTAAAATCAAATACACCTTGTACAATATCTTGCATTGTTTTCTTCTTGTGCGATTGACCTGGGTTTGTCGGTACATTATTGGAGATAAGGAGCTTTGCTTCTCTATTTCTCTCTCTTATATCTTTACTAACCTTTTCCTTATATGTTGAATCCAGGAATTCATCGACCTTCTTGTCCTCTGCTGATCTAGTCTCTGTGCGAATAGGTGATGCGAGATATTGGGATGGAGACTCATGACATACATCAGGATTTGAAGTGTCATCAGAAATATTAGTTGCAGGGGTATCATTGCCAGAGGCAGTCACATAGTGACTAGAATCTGTTTCAAAAGATGTATAAGATTGATTAATTACCTTGGTATTATCACCCGATTTAGCAATAGAGTTGCCAGATTGCGATTGCTTCTGTTCCAATTTCACAACCCTAGCTTTAAGTTCGGCATTTTCAGAAGCGGTATCTTTATCGTTCTGCTCCAGTTTTATAAATCTGGATTCATGTTCTTCCAAAGATTGTTTTAATTTTACGTTCTCAGCTTTAAGTTCGATGTTCTCAGACTTGATCTCGGTGTTTTCCCGTCTAAGTATATCATTCTCAGCTGCAAGCTTGGAAATTCGTTCTTCTAATGAATCGACTTTGGATTGTTTGTTTGCCATTTTTTATATTTTATAAAAATATGGATATATTCAATTCTTCATCGTGTTAATGTAAACTAATAAAATTTCAGCGAACAATGCCAAGAAAAAACTTTTTATTAATACATGCGAAAAATAAATACAAATGTTCGGGACTAGCCCGCGATACATGACGTCTATACTATTATCTGTGGACTGTCTGCGTGAAGGCAGGATAAATTCACGAAATACACATGCAAAAGTAAACACGATTATGTATGCGAAATCGGCCACCAGCAAGCTTTATTGATGTAAAAAATAAAATATACAATCCGTGCTCTATATAAAGTGGATTTACAACATTATTTTTTCGTTCTTTTTTGACTATTTACAATGCCCCGCAAATTTACAATGAGTCCATTCTAAAAATTATGAATTTCTTTAATATTAGTAACATTAAATGATAAACATACATTTTAGTAGAGTTAAAGGAATGCGTACCCGTAAAACTAATAATGCATGAACGAACTCTTCTACTTCTTCAGTCGTTTCTTCATCCAGGGGTATTTTCGCTTTAATAATAGGGAGATAATATTTTACCCCCTTTTCTTTTATCAATCCGTGGATTTTAAGGTACTTACCCGCGATATTAACAGCAAACCCTATATAATTTTTATAAAAATTTTCTTTCAAACATTTCTTTACAAGCTCCTTGGATCCAGCTAAACAGAATTGCGTTAATTTATTATGATCGTGAAGAATCTTATCTTCGTCAGCACCCCATTTTCCACATTCGAAGAAAATAATTTCTTCCCATTTCTGACGAAGACAAGCACGAATCATAATATCGGGTTTATTGCCTCTCGATCCGGTTTTTTGTTGAATTTTCCAGTTCTTACTGGCTATACTTTGCCGTTCAGACCTGGTAACTTCAACATCAAAATCTACGGGTAGGTGATATATGGTCATATCTAATAAACGGGAGATGATCTCCACTAATGTGTTTTCTGAACCCCCGGAAACTCTTTGAAGCGCATTTAGTTTAATTTCTTGCAAAAGGACATCAGTAATTCCGCTTGCTATGTGTCCTCTAACATGATCGGCTTCGACCCATTGATCATGTGTCACAGTTTCTCTTGAGGACAACACGAATTTCCTCAATTTCTGAACTTCGTTTCTTTTTGATATAAAATTATGGCAAACGTTCTTGACTGTAGCATCTTTATCTAGGTTTTTTATATCAGCTTTCTTTCCCTATTAAGATCAATATCTAATAAGTATTTTTCTTATACACACAATCCACATATAAGCTTTATCTTCACCAATTGGAATGTAGATATTATATACGTACGACGAGAGATTTGAAATTATTTTCTGGAATAATATATTTATCAGAACTAAGATCAATAATTCCGATACATAATGGATCGTCTTTTGATAATTTGTTTACATCTGTATTGCTTAATCTTGTGAAAAGATGTTCATGTACTGGCGTTACTTCATCCTAGTAGATTAAAAAAGTATTTCGTAGAAAAAAGATAAAATTAAATAACTGATTAAAAAGTTAATTTCGTAGAAAAAAAAATCAAATTAGATAACTGATTACCTTGATTTTATCTTTCAAGAGTGATATACTATTTAATGCCAAAGCTTTCCAATCCACTTCTTCTTGGAATTTCCCTCGTAAGAACCCCATATTTTTTAATGAGACTAACTCGTTTCTAAAAATTAGTATCTATAAAAATAAAGATGGGTTAATAAAATTCAGAACAACATCATTATTTTTTTTTGCGCAAATACCCATCCTAATCAGAAATAGCCGGCATTATTGTCTAAAAAGTCATCACAATAAGTATAATGAAAGAGATTCTCGCTAACAATATGTCGCTTTTTCAATCTCACTACACTTATTAATGTCTAGACATTATATTCATCATTTTATATACAAACATCAAAATGATAAAAAAAAATACCTGATCAGTATTTTGCAAGAATCTTTTAAGGCACAAAAGTACCTATAGGCACAAAAATGCCAGGCATTTTTATGCCAAACAAAAAAGTGCCAGTGCCTTAAAATTTTTTGTTAGGCACGGGCACATGCCGGGTTGCAGATCCCTAATGGATATCAGAATAATATGTAATTGTTTCACTAAATTGAATATTCGAATATCGATATAAAAACTATTTCAAATAATTCAATAAACATTCAATGAGTATATACTATTTTGATTAGTAATATAAAACCATAAATAAGATAAATCCTTATATAGATATATATAGCTATATACGTAGAAATAATTTAGTTTATTGATTTATTTATTTTTTTATTTTAATAGCTTACAAGATTAGCATTCAATTCAATTTTATAAGATGATTTTAATTTAGAACTTGTTCAGAATTAACAATTTTATTTTATAATTATTTAATATTCGATGAAAATTCATTGAATATTTGAATATTCATTCAAAATTTTTAAATGAATATTCAAATATAAATATACTTATTTTTTGACCGAGTCAGACCTCTAGTTATTGATATAAATCAGAGGTTCAAAAAAATTTTTCGAGGTTTTGCATTAATTGATTACAGCTGTTATCATAAATTCTAAAACACCTGATAAAAATTAGCCAAATGATTTTTCAGATTCGACTAAGTTTTTAATTTCGGTATAACGATAAGAGATTCTATAATTTAAGATCCGTTGATTAATATAAACTTTAATACGTACAGTACGTACATTCATATATCTCTGGTTTAATACAGAAATATGACATCTAGAGTTGGGACTAGAGTTGGGATCCTTTGAATATCCATCGTGGCTATTCACTGAATATTCACGGGTTTTAGTCATTCATGAATGATATTGAATGAATATCTGGATTTTATATAGATACGTATTCGTGGATATCAATTGAATATAATATTATGTAAATTTAGCTATGATCTGGCTATATTTTTAAGCAAATATTCACGGCTCTTCACAAATTTTGTGTAACTAATCTATTCACGAATTTTATTTATCACTTTTAATTAAAATCCTTAATTACATAAAATTTGGGCATAACGTCAATACGTCACTATTATGTCAATGCTATATGTTAATTGATATTCTAATGTTAGCGAATTTACCAATGACTTCTTTTGCTGGTAAATAATCGAAAAAATTTTGGGTTTATCAATTCGAAAAATTGCCAAAACTTATGTGTTAGCATATCTTCTATAAGTCAGATTCTCAAGCACTTTTAGAACATTTTTATATATACAGCATCTTTTTTAATATTAGCACAAATCACTTAATATGTTTATTATGAGTCTAATTTAAATCCTGTCGTTTTTATACGTATTTCTTGCTAAGATTTATTGCTGGCAAGTGCTGTTTTCGGTAAATTTTCGTACAAACTAAACACATCAAACATATTGAACCAAATTTTAATAATGTTAACATTATCATTATAAAGATTTGTAAAACAATCATTACTGTATATACTAAAATAACTTTTATTATACAGATCATGCCAAAATCAGAGTTCGACAGGGCGACCACCAAAAGTACAGGCACGTGATAAGATGCCATAACCACTGCATAATTTCTTAGAAAATTGTTGAATCGTCTAGCTCCTTTATCTGTTATTGCTGTGAAAATTTCTTAATAAAATATGTAACAAAATAAGATATGGTTGTGGCGATAGTTCAGATAATGTGTCCCGTACTTTTGGTGGTCGTTCTGGCGAACTCCCGAAATCGCAAACTTAACCAAATCGGCCGAAAAATCATTTGACCAATTTTTAACAGGTGTTCCAGAAATTATGATAACAGCTGTAATATACAGAAATAGTAACTAAAATTAATCCTCGATATTCAATGAATATTCGAATATACGTACTATATTTATTGGATCGATAATGCAGTAATATGTCTAACCGCTTGACGCATTTCGTTAGACATATAAATTTATATATAATGACGCACACTAGCATGTGAATATTGATTAGCAGTCAAAATCAGTATTATATATATATTGGTATATAGTCAAATTTTGGGGTATATATGCGCTGTAATCGTCAATCATCTAGATTCACCTCTTGTTTCGAAATAATGCACGGATGTATCCGAAATAATTAGCAGGTCAATCAATTAACGTTAATGCACATGCAAGCATTATTTCACGCCTGTATTGCATGTATGCAGTTAGTCAGTCAGGTATTTTACGTGATATAGAAATGTTCTGCAATATACTAAAAGGTTATTCTAAAACCAATTTCTATTTAAAAAAATAGCGTTTTTTATTATCTAAAAATAACAATCAAGTTTTAAAAAAACCTTTAAAATTTTCTTATTCTATGAATATGTAGTGTGGGGATCCCTGAGGCTTTAAAAGGCGGTTGTGTGCCAAATAATAACACAGCCAATGATTGGTACAAAATTTCGTACCATAGAATAAAAAAGAATTTTCCAATTGAAGATCTTTTACCAAAAAGAAAAATGAAAAATCCCTATGATGATAAACGATTAGGTTATAAACTAATTTCGTCGACAAATTTTGGCCCGATTTAGTTAGGGTTGGCCTGCTTTACAGTTAGTGTTGGCTAGAGGTTGTCGGCGAAGTGGCTGTCGGGGAATTCTACCGAACCTAACAAAACATGTAGAAGTTCAATCGGATGTTCTTAATATTTTTCTCACGTTAGAGTAAGTTTGTTTTTTTCGCAAACTGTCTTAGTCCCAAATTTGTATACCGATATACCGATACCCATTACATTTACGTTCGTACGTACGTGCACATGTACACGCGCACGTAAGTACATCCGTACGCACTAAAAACTGCATTCTATCACTCTTGTACGATCATCGAAACCAGAGTTAATCTTTTACAACCAAAATATATATCATCATTCGTGTGTTCGCTAAATCCTGAATTGGACCAGTTTAAAAATAACAAGATATTACAATAATCTGGAAATAGTTGCCAAAACTAAAAAAAAAAAACGATGAAAATTTCATGTGCGTACGTATGATCAAAGTGAATGATATTTTTAGTATGTACATCTAGCATTCTTGAAAATATTACCGGATATGCATATATCAAAGATATCCGGATTTGATCAACCATTGGTGTTGTAGTGTTGTATTGCTGTATTGTTGAGTTAAAAACAGGGTGCATTATGTACATTGTTCTTTGCAGGCGTTTGGAATTAATTGTTATACCGATTATCGAAATGATTAGCCAAAAAAAATTAGATTGATCAAAAAAATCGGACTTAATCGGAGTCAAAAATGTACATGTGATCGGTAATATACATGAAAGTTATCGCTATTTAAACTATTTAAACTGATTAATCGAAAAAAATTTCAGTTCAATACATTAGCATTAGTCTTCATTTAAAATGGATTCAAGTAACCCCGCACCCATTAGACCTACTACACCTATTACACCTACTACACCTACGTCATACGTAAAGCGGTCTTCCTCTATTTCAAACGGACCTCCTCCACCTCTAGATCCTGCAATATTACATATTCTTTCGGGACTTCTGAGAGATTTACAATTCCTTAACCAACAACGGCATCTTTCAGATCTTGCGCTTCAGGAAATAATAGACAGACTACCAAAGCCTGCCTCATATAATGTTATTCAATCACCAGCTCTACTTTCACCAACTCATTCTCCTGTTTCTGTACCTCAAGTAGGTTCGCCGGCTCCTTCTGTACATTCTGAAAAATCAAAAGTAGATTCTGAACTTGGACACTCCGAAGTAAAAAATACATCTATTATACAACCACAAGAACAGAGTGGGATACAATATTTACAATCCCAAAATGGTACAGATTCTCAACTACCTTCTTCATCTATACACGAACAACAAGAGCATAAACCTGAAATACCTTACGGAGGGACTGTCGATCAACCTACCACGGTTCCCGAAACAGTTTCTAGAAGTTCAACTCCAAGACATTCTATGTCACGAGGTCCCCTACCACCTCCTCCAAATTCAATAAATAATGCACCACTACAACATCCTACTGTGCCGCCTAATTTTATTAGTAAACAACAAGAAGCTGAATTTTATGCTAACAAATCTAGAGTTCCAAAAATACATGATATGCTACCTGTTTATAGTCCTCAAGTTGTTGAAGCGCAATGGGATTTTAACGGAACTGATGATGGTGATTTGAGCTTTAAAAAAGGGGATCATATAGAAGTGACCGAATATGTTAATGATGACTGGTGGCGTGGTCGTGTTAAAGGCAAAGATATAATTGGTATATTCCCGAAGGTTTACACAAAAAGTATATTACAAAGTCCCCAGTCTCCAAGGAGCCCTGATGGTCATCAACGTAGAACTTCAACGAACTCATTGACTTCGGTCTCATCTCGTCTCACTCAACAAAGTATGAATTTACAACAAAATCTACAACCAAATTTACAACAAAATCCACAACAAAATCCTTTACCCACTAATCGTGCTCAAGTTCCTGTACAGTTGCAACCTCAACAACCTTTAAATCGTCAGGTTGCACCTCAATCAAATCTTACCACCCCCTATTCTTATCAAAATTATCCAATTCCATATACATCTCAACCAAACACAGCTTATTACTTGCAAAATAATCAATATTATAATCAACCAACTTTTTCTGGCGGATTTTCTGGAGGATCTAAAAAATAATCAAAAAAAATTTATTGTATTCTTATCTATGTATATATATAAAAATCGTTCATTCATATGTTATCTAGAAATTTGTTATGTATTTGTTTAGGATAGTGCAACTTAATCATATATGGGGTGTCTTCAATTAAAAGGGCCCATTTTTACAATTTTTCAAAAATTGAGTTTTTGTTAGATTCATA